TGCGCTACAAGAGCAAGTGAGGGCCGGGGGGGAGGACGGGCCCGCGGGGACGCTGGAGGGACCCGGGGAGGGAGGCGGCGAGGCCGGCGGAGCGGGGCCGCCGCCTCTGAGCCGCCGCCGCCCGCGTTTCCCATCTCTCTTCTAGCTATGCCGTGGAGCGGAGGATCGAGCCGTTCTACAAAGGAGGGCGAGTCCAGGTAGGAAGAGCGACTCCTGTCCCAGTATCGGGGTGGGATGGGGGAAGCTAAAGCAGTGACGTGCCCGTTTAAAAATGCCTTCTCTCTCTGGTGCCTTAAATGCTTCCGGTTCTCCTTCTCCCTGCAGGTTAATCGAGATGGAAAGTTCATGTTTTGCCCCTGCGGGATCAAACTGAACGTAATTGATATAGAAACGGGAGCTCTGCTTCACAGCCTCGAGCAGGTGAGGAGAGCCTGTGTCTGGTGACTTTTGAAACTGCTGGGTATTTTTGAAGCCTCTGAGAATATTTTACCTTAGTTGTCAGCTCTTCTGAGGTCCTTAAGAGTGAAAATTAGATGGGAGAATGAGAAATGTGTGTGAATTCAGAGTTCATGGTGTTCTCTGTAAGCACGAGGGGAGAGCGGTTGGATATTCTCAAAGGAGGCCTGCAGAAAGGTGTCCTGAGAGCCCTCAGAAGCATTGCACAGGGGATTTATCTCTTTTCCTTCCTATCTGCAGGATGATCAAGAGGATATTACTGCCTTCGTTCTCAGCCCTGATGATGAGGTAGGTGTTTGTGTCGTTCTTTACTGCTCCTTTGGGCCTCCTGGTGAAGCTGGTGAGCCCTGGAGCCTGCCTGGAGGCACTGCCCGTTTCCAGAGGTCTCAGCACAGAGTCATCGGGCGCTTCCATCTGGCTTCCAGTCCAGGTTGAACTTGGGCATTGGAAAGATCCCTGCATTTTTGTTTATTTACAACTGGGAGTAACAAACAGATTGAGGGACAAAAGTGCCATTTAATCAATTTTATATGCATGTGTAGCGCCTGCGTTAGCTGATACTTCATTTACACTTAGTTATTTGCGGCTCTGTTCACGTATCCGCGCGTGCGCAGACATGCTGCATACAACCCACTCAAAAATCACTTGCTTTGTGCTGCTTTTGGGTAGATCCTCGTGACGGGGAGCCGAGCCCTGTTGCTGAAGCAGTGGGACTGGCGAGAGAACAAGTGTGCCCGCACGTGGAAGGCGGTGCACGTGGCGCCCGTCGCTGCCATGGCCTTCGACTGCACCTCGACGCTGCTGGCCACAGGTACAGCCCTGCTGCTTGGCACGCCACGGGGCTGCCCGGGGGGCTCTTGCATGATGTCAATAACTTAGCCCGGTTTGACACGGTGTGATTTAGCAGCCTGTTAAATTCAGGCAAAATCGGAGAGATTTTTGCCTGTGTAGTCTATCAAGATATCACATCTAACAATATTCTAATATTCTACTTAAAATATGTTAATTAAATGTTGTTAAGTGTAAAGTAGTCCCTGAGCTCCTTTTGATGTTGATGGTTGTTACAGGTTTCATTTTACTCTTTGCTGCTTTTGTAATCTGCGATTTTTTACAATTGCTGACATCCTGGACCTCTTGTGCTCTCCTTAGTTCAATCCTTTATGCCCTTCTTTTCCAAGGTGGCTGTGACAGCACCATTAAGATCTGGGATATGATCAAGCAGTACTGCACTCACAACCTGAAAGGATCTTCAGGAGTTGTACAGTAAGGACAAATCATAGTTTTCAGCCGTTTCTGTTCCTCTGGTGTTAGTGTGATGCATGTGTGTAGAATATATGTTTGAATATTAGGCCAATGCTGTGCGGATGTCAGATAGCTTATTCCTGCCGTGTTCAAGGCTGTCTGTATCTCTCTGTCTAGCCTGGTTGAGTTCCACCCTGATATTTCACGCCTGCAACTTTTCTCCTCCTCAATGGACTATAAAATCCGAATCTGGGACCTGAATTCCAGCAAGTGTGTTGCTGTGTTGAGTGGCCATTTCAGTGCTGTCACCTCCCTGGCTTTTGCTGCCGATAAAGATACACTCATCAGGTAAAAACTTGTAGCCTTTTTGTCCCTTTCACCCTGCCTCCTGCAAAAACAGGGCACTTGTGTGATGCCTGGGAAGTTTGTCCTTTGAGGGGACAGATCCTCGCTGAAGCTGCTCACTGCCAGCCTGGCAGTGGAGAAGTGATCAAGGCTTTTAGTGCCTGTGTTTTGGTGACAATGTTCTGCCACTGTGCGGAAGGCTGGGGTTTTTTGTTGAACTCACTTCAAAACTGAGCTTGAGTTGAATGGCTTTGACACTGAAACTCTTTTTTAACTTGCAGTTCTGGCCGTGATAAAATCTGCATGGTGTGGAGCCTGAAAACCGGAGAAAGCAAACGAACCATCCCTGTCTATGAGGTGAACTCACATTTCATCCGTTCTTTTGAGATCCTTTGTTGTTTCTAGGTCGCTGTTCCCATGAGGTTTCTTTCTCTTTAAGTTTCTGTATATCGTGAGATGGGGCTTTGTTTCCTTTGTACTTTACGGAAGTCATCGAACTCTGCTCCAAAGCTGTTTATTTTCATTCTCTCTTTGCTCAGCGGAGTCATTTCTGGGGAGCATGAGAACATGCTGCCCCTGCCTTCGTTTTCCCGGTGTCAGAAGCAAGGACAGTCACGAGGAAACTCTATTCTCGTGTTGTCTGCCTGCCTAGCTGGGGACTGAGGAGTGTGGGGTGATTGTGCCTGTTGAAACAGGACTCCAGTGCCTCCAGTCTCAGCCAGTGCTTGGCCAACTCTCTTGCAGAGTGTGGAAGCTGCTGTTCTCTTGCCTGAAAATGGAGACTTCTCTCAGCTGGGTGTGAAGAACCAAGGCTTGCACTTCCTCACGGCTGGCAGCAAAGGTGAGTGTTGTGCCATGCCCTTGCCCAATCGAGAGGCTGAGGAAGGATGGTCCTATGACAGACTTAACTGATTTAAAAAGTTTGATTTAAACTGAAGAAGAAAATGTTTCTGACCCTTCACACCACTGTATTTGTAACAGCTAGCTGTCTTGCCTTAAAGCTCTGTAGCTTTTTTCAGGCCAGAGCTTGTTTTGATATCAACTGGATGATCATTATGAAAAACAATGGCTC